CATATACATATTCATATACATATACATATACATATACATATACATATACACATATTATACATATACATATACATATACATATACATATACATATACATATACATATACATATACATATACATATACATATACATATACATATACATATACATATACATATACATATACATATACATACACATATGCATATACATATACATATACATATACATATACATAAAAAATATACATATACATACACATATGCATATACATATACATACACATATGCATATACTGGGCACTCACCTGAAGCTCGTCGGGGATGGTGAAGAATGTGACCAGTCGATTGAGGAATGCTTGATTGTATACCATCACCTGTGAAATAGAAAGTACACGAATTAAAAACCCTAAACCCTAAAACAATAGTGTATCAATTGAGCCTGATATTATATAGTAAATGGAGTCACATAAGTCAATAGTTCATATACTGAATTAAGTTGTACAAGTCCAATAGTACATATACTTCATTATGTCGTACAAGTCTATAGTATATATACTGAATTAAGCCAAGTACGTCAATAGTACTGCACTAAATTGCCTCAATTACATCAATAGTCAATTGAGTCAATGATATATATATACTGAATCGAGTATATATATATATATATGTATATATATATATATATACATACCAGTGCCCGTGAATTAACCACCAAGCGCTTGTCAGCCTTCCTGTCGAGTGGATTGTCGTCTAACATCAGAGAAAACAATGGCTTGCGTTCCTCTTTAATCAGCAACGCACTCATCCGTTTGGCTGAGGTGACCTTCTTATCCGACAAAAGTGAGGCTAGTCCCTGTGTATGATCAAGTAGTGAGATTCTGTGGGTTTGTACCGGAGATTGTGTTAAGTATGTTTATATAATATATTGTGCTCAAGTATGTTTATATAATATATCGTGCTTAAGTATGTTTATATAAAAGTGGTAACCACAATATAAACCGATACACTCTTTGTGTGTACACCCACATTTGACTTGTGGCATATGTCAGATGCACTACTGATTTTTAATACGGCCGACCATTCGAGTTACATTAATGTTGAGTTGCGTTAACGCCATAGCAAATAGTACGTTTACGTAAGATTCGACGTATAACTTTTTAGCGTAAAATCGCACACATCATCACGGTTTCAGTTTGTGACAAGTATAAATAAGTATGCGTAATGCAAGACTATTACGTTTTTGTACACGCCATAGGCCAAAAGATGAATTGAAATTGTCACTTCGTTTGTAATAGGCCAGCAAGGTACACACTCAGTACAAATAAAAAGTATAAGCAAGTACGTAAACTCAGACTCTGTACGTACACTTACGTAAACACTATACCTACCATTGACAGCTGTGACTCTATACATACACTTACGTTTAAATTCTTACTCTTTACGTACACTAACTAAAACACTATACCTACCATAGACCGCTGTGACTCTATACATAAACTTACATTTAAATTCATTTTCTTTACGTACACTAACTTAAACACTATACCTACCATAGACAGCTGTGACTATATACATACACTTACATTTAAATTCATACTATTTACGTACACCCACTTAACCACTATACCTACCATAGACATCTGTGACTCTATACATACACTTACGTTTAAATTCATACTATTTACGTACACTTACTTAAACACTATACCTACCATAGACCGCTGTGAGTCTCGCCTGGGCAGGCTTCCCGCATCTCTTGGCTCAATAACTGCCTTGAAGTGCGTGCTATCTGAGTACAGGTCATTGCAGTAGAGCCCACCCAGAGACAGTTCGGTACATGTGTTGTCACTACCCACACGACGCCGTACGTTGGCGTGCAGATCCTCCCAGACCAGCTCTGCGATGGGGATGTCCTTATTATCCTGTGGATTGCAAGAAAATGGTATGTATATATACATAAATATACAGAATATATATATATATAAATATATATATATACATATATATATATATATATATGTATGTGTGTGTGTGTGTG